CCCCGGAGCCCCGCCCGACGTCTCTTTATAAATGGCAAGACAAGACCACCGCGCCGTGTCAGTCGGGCCTGAGCAAGTGGTGGTGAACTAATTCTCGTATGACTCATATATAAACAAAGGGATGCGGGTCATGAACTCCATCCTCCATCTAGCAGACGGTACGCAAAAACACCTACACTACAAATACATATAATTAATGTTTAGGTATCATTCCGGTATCATTCCCATTCTCGATAAGTAAAGAGAATTGCTGGACTAGCACTAAGCCTGCAAAGTCCCGGCGGCGGTACAGGAGTTTAACACTTCACTGAGAACAGTACTTCTTCTTCCTTGGGATCGTCTAGAAAGTACATCCGTTCCTCAGAGTCATTCTTCAAATCTTTCGGCAAATAACATGACCTATGGCGCCTGCGAGACTCGGGGTCGGCCACCCCGCAGTACACGCATGCACGGCGGGCAAGATGTTGCCTACCCATCAGGCGCTATGAGACCTTTGCATTGGCAGATGATGGACGCACTTTCTGGATGACCCCACGGCAATGAGGACGACAATTTAAGTTGTTTTAAAGTTAGTTTAATCCTCAGCACAAAATTAATTGTCTGTTTTACGTCTCCGTACTTTGATCATTTTCCTTTATTGAAAGGGGGCGTTGCCCGAATGGGATTTGTGCCTTATATGGCACTTTTCAAATTTAGGCCATGAGAGCATTAACATTTGCGTGGTCCGCAATACTTAGCCTATAGAAAATGGGTATTTAATAAAAATATCTCTACACATGAAAATTGTTTTCCCCTCAATTCGAAACGATTGAGAAACTGTAGATTGAATCTTCATTGACTGGGTGTAATAGAATGGAGATCAAATAAAAATAAAATCAGAGATAGCGAAACCAGTGCCGCGCGCCACCGCCGCTGCCTCTGACTGTGGCGACCGTGGCTTTTCAAACGCGAAGCGGGAAGCCAGAGGACCGGGCGGGCCTGTGGTGGGGGGTCTGCCACGGGGCGAGCGACCGCCACCGCGCGGGTAGAGCGCTGCATTCTGCTCTGCTGCTTTGAAGATTGAAGGCGATAGTCCCGCGCCCGTGCCTCCTCCCAAGTTCACGTGACATCTGGGCCGCCGTACCGGGCGAAAATAACCTCAAAAATTGTGAGTGTTATAAAGGTATTCGCATATTACGGAGAAAAACTTGTTCTTTCATTAGTTGCAAGTTTCCCTAAAACACTTGATCTGCAAGGCTATCGCGGTCCGTGGTTGGCTGTCGAGAGCCCCGTTTAGACAACGCCCCCCCCCCCCCCCACTTTCCTCATCTAGAGGATAACTGGGCGGCCGACCGGCAGCGGGAGCGGGAGGGAAGGGTGTGAGTTCGATTTAAAGGTGTTCGAGGGGAAATAAGGAAGAAGGAAGAATTGAAAGGGATTGTTATTCTGCAAAAATATTTATGCCTTTGGATAAGCATTTGTCGGGCAGCTTGAGAAAAATGTCGCAATGTACATGGGGAGTTATTAAAGAATCAGAATCTTTTTGTTTTTTTTATCGCTTTTCAAAAATGTATGGTTCCACTCATTTTGGCCCTCGATACTATTAATTGCCCCCCCCCCCTGCGCTCCCCCGCTAGCAGAGACGGACCGTGATGCCCCCTCGCCCCTCGCTGGCATATGTAAGTACTTTACCCCAGGTAGAACACAATCGTCAAAAACTCGTCAATGACCCTCATTTGACGTCAAAATGAGCTCATTCTGGCTACCAAGGCGCAGTAAATTTTGACGATGAGGGTCAAAATGAGGTCATTTTGACGTCATTTTGACAAATGTGTTCTAACTGGGACGTTGTTATACCCACTGGGCACATCAGATCGAGGACGTCAGTCAACTACGGGACCAAACACCTAAAGGATGACTACTAAGATCGTCGTCGTCGGGTCGTGCATGACGGACTTGAACTGGTAATTCCCTCTCACATGTATGCGCTTAAACATACAAAATGTTGATGCGCAACGTCAAACTGCTAACTACTTTTCCCCATGGGCGCGCAGTTACTCCAAGCGTCTCCCAAAATGCGGCGAGACACTGACGGGCGACAGGTTCACCATTGGTTTCGGTGGCAAAGGAGCGAACCAATGCATCGCCGCGGCCAGGATAGGCGGTCAGGACGTGGAGGCGACGCTCGTGGCGCGGGTGAGCAGCACGACAGCGCTTCACTGCAACATGCTGGAGCAAACCAACAATTCTATTCCTTGCCTTGCCCCTTACCCGGGTCATTCCCTTTTACGGCCAGGTGGGCGATGACTCGTTTGGCACAAACTACCTCGCCAACCTCAAGAAGAACGGCATCGACACGCGATTCGTAAAAAGCACTCCTCATCTGCACACTGGCGTCGCCCAAATTTCAGTTAGCGAAACAGGTAGGCTACTTACCGATTTTCTTATCTTTGCCACGTTCTCACTCATTTCAAACGTTGTTCGCATTGCCCTCAGGAGAGAACACCATCATTATTGTGCCGGGGGCCAACACGGCTCTCAGCCCCGGGGACGTGCGCGACGCCCAGGATCGCGTCGTGGAGGCGGATGTAGCCCTCTTCCAGTTTGAGACTCCCATCCCCACCACCTTGGAAGCGTTGCGGCTCAGGAGGGCGGCGGGCAAAGGTGAACCCCAACAGGACCTCAGGTCTCTTGACTACGTTATTCTACTTGGCCTGCAACGAGGCCAGGAACCTTTGGCGCTGATTGGGAGGACAGATGCACTTACGTAGTACAGGGGACTGCATTCTAGTAAAATAAACTCGGTCCTGTCACAGGTACATCCATTGTAAATGCAGCCCCCGTGATAGCAGACTTCGATGCTGACATTTACAGGCTGAGCGACATTTTCTGCGTCAATGAGACTGAGGTTTGCGTTGCGAAGTACAGTTCCCCGAGCTCATGGAAAAGTTGAAAGATACGGAATGTACATGTTCTCGCATCCGCAGGCCGAGTTGCTTACGGGAGTGGCCTTGTCCGAAGCTCCCGAGGGGGACGGACTGGTTCTGGCGGCGGGGAAGGCCGCAGAGGCCCTGCTGCAGAAAGGCTGCCACCTCGTCATCCTCACCCTGGGGAAGCACGGCGCCGTGGTTCTGGACCCTAAGGAATGCAACAAGCCCCAGCACATTGCCGCCAAACCTGCAAAAGCCGTGGACACAACGGTAGGAAGCAGGGCAACAGTTTTACAATGCAGTTCGAACTAAATTCTTCTACTAAATCTCTTTATACTGGTTCAGGGTGCTGGAGATGCCTTCTTGGGCGCCCTAGCTTACTTCCTTGGTGCTCGGAAGGATCTAAACCTCCTGGAGCAGGTACGAAGAGCAATGCATTATGCCACCCTTTCCGTAGAAAAGCCTGGCACTCAAGATAGCTTTCCCTGCCGAGAAAATTTATCGTCAGACCTATTAAAATAGAGAGGGAAGTGCATGGTGCACAAACTTGGAATAAGCTTTACCAAAAGGATAGATGTACAATATACAAAGAGTAAATACAACACAAAGTAGATTGATATTTTTTTAAGGAATATGTGCCATTTTACAGTTATGAGTCTGTTGACTAGAATGTAGCAAAGTGTTATATAAAAACATAAAAACTATAGGATTCTCATACTACTGGAAGACACTGCAGACTATTCTAGGTGATATGATGTGTACTCTAAAATACAGATAGGGAACTTAAATAATTAATGACAAAACTTTCAGAAGTAGTTCACTTTAGACATCAATAGCAACGCCTTGATGACTCTGCATACTTATTTTTCAACTCTGTCTTAAACTGTCTAAAGAGTTTTCGATTGAATTCTAACTCTTCTTCTTTTTGTGGATGAAAAGACTCTTTCCTCTTGAATCCTTTATGCATAAGGAAAGCCTTGTTCAAAACAGTAAATTTGTACCCAGCAACATGAAGTTCACAGACCTGATGAAAATGTGAACAGTTTAGTGCATAAATTAGAAAAATAGAAACAATCACACATTTAAAAACAAGAAACAATACTAAGCACTATCTACCTGACTAATCCTGTTGAACCCATATTGTTTAAATCGTTCATCATATAAAGGGACTGAATTCAAAGATATATAGAATGGTTCCCATGGGTCCTTCCACAGAACATCATAAGTTGGAACCAAATGTTCATGTTCGGGTTGCTGCAGCCAGGTTTCATAATCGGTGTGGGCCTGGAAAAAAGAACACACATGGAAGAAAACTTAACAATGTGGCTTGGTCATAGATGAATAAAAAGAAATAAAATGGAACGACACTTACATGGCACTTCCAACAAAGTTGGGAGTAGAAGGGGCGTACTTTCCCAGCTTGAACAGCTTGGATCAGATCAAACTTTGTCTTTGGATTAATAATACCTTCAAATGCAGGAATGACAAAGACAGTCTTATCAAGTGTGAGATTCTTTTGAAACCAACTGTTGCGAATTGCAAGGTGGAGAAAATCCTAGCAACAAATGTATTTTAATACACTGTCAAAATTAGAGATTAGAATAAATATTATGATATGCAACCACACAATAATTTGATTTACCTCTCGTAAACCCTGACTAGGCACCATGTCAACATCAATTACAAATACAAAGTCTGTTAAAGCTGCTCTCCTAGCTGTGTTGCGCAACAGATTGTTTGGATAAGGATCGATATGATTGTAATTACTCTCCGTCACATTGTACTGCGGTATAACATTTGGCCTGGGTGGGAGACCACCTGCTGCGCTTACTGGCCAAACAAAAGAAAATATTGCAAATGTCTGAAGTTCCTCATTTGTAAGAGCCAGCTTTGCCAGTTCAAGAAGTGTGGTCCACTCATGGCCTGATCTCGCAAACACAGCCACAGATATTGGACCCTGCAATGATTTATTGTTATAGAGAGAGCAAAATAAAACAGCCTCCGCTAAATTTGAACCTAACGTTAATATACCTTCCATTGGTGAGCAAGAGGTATTAAATCTGATAAATGGTCTTGGGAGCATTGTGTCACAAGGGTAATATCTTGGGCATGTCCTGCAAAGTCTCTTAAGTTCGACTGCAATAAACTTATGTGGTATTCACCGCTGGTATCCAAGACCCAGTTCCGTTCAATATACGACACAAATGAAGACAGTTCTTCAAGTATCTGAAAAATTATAGTGTAGGGGATAACATTTATTTCTTGATAGAATCATGATTTATTTGATGGCATGCTACTTACAGGATCTTCTCCTCCACTTTGACCAAACACCTGTCCAATGACTGGTTGTGGCTCAGGTACATTCTTACGCTGTCGAGTCTCTAATCGGTTCAAAAGAATAATGTGAATGAGCTGCAGAAGACCGACAACACCTATCAGTGCGAGCACCAACCTCCCACACAGGAATCGGTACATGGTCCCAGCGAAACTGCATAGTTTTCGATACGAACTAAAATAAAATTGACGTCAATATAACGTGAAACACGAACGTCAATTGGTCTGTGATTCCCAGTCTTTCCAAATATGCCGCTGCGAGCAGAAAAGCTTTACTTTGTAGGTTAATGCGCCTTGTTTGTTTACTTTACGACGGTAAATCGACAAACAGAGTAGCCAACTGTCTCGGCTTTCATGCCTTTCATCCCACCAACACAAAAAAAGTCGTCAAAACCCTATTATTTTGCTCAATTAAGGAAAAAATTCATCGAAATTCTAGCAAAACCGAAATTTTAACTCTTTCATACTACGTGATAGAATATTGAAAGCATCGTCTATCGAATGTTGTTTTTGTGTTGTTGGCTGTAGTGGCGCGCGGAATTCAAGACCTGACGGACTTATTTACCACATCGACTGCCTTACGAATCTATACTCTGCCGAGGCAGTGGAAATCCAATAACAGTACAGAAATAAGCAACATTACTTTCTTATGTCGAAACTAATCTTTAAAATTGATTGCACCTTGTTGAGCCAATCGAATTGTAAATTATTGGACCCTGTATGAGCGCGCTGAGCGCGCGCCGCAGAAACAAGTCAGTTTTCGAGTCGGCAGTGCCGTTGTTGGCCGCCATTATTTCTGTGTTCAAGTTATTTATTTCTTTTAAAAATGGTTAAAAATCCTATAAAAGTGTACGGACGAGTTAAACCAGTGCTCAACAAAAATCAAGCTGAGGTAAGTAAAGGCGGGGCATTCGAATTTACACAACGGCCTTAATTGTGACCATGGACAAATTCCCGAATTGTTCTTTTCAAGGAATATGAAATCCACGACACAGCGGACGACTTTCAAACACTCAATTTCAATCTCAAACCACACGGATTTTTTAATGCGAAACCCGAAAGTCTTTCGTTTAGGTAAGCTGCTACTCCCCCTCTTGTCAAGTATTTACCATATGTCTTCATTGAATAACGAGTATGTCGTCCCCATACAGATTTCAGAAAGTTTTCAATACTTCAAACCAAGAGGAGGTTTTTAGCATAGTCGCCAAGCCAGTAGTTGACAGGTAAAGACGAAATGAATACAGCAGCATATCATAAATCCATACCACATGTTCAATCTCTCTTTCAGCGTGCTTCAGGGGTATAACGGAACAATCTTTGCATACGGGCAGGTAAGTTCCCAGTATAATATTAAAATTCATCAGGTACGGAACCAGAGGAAAGGGGGCGTCGCCCCCCCCTCCCCCCGCGCTATTCCCAAGGACTTTCGTCCTGTACGCAGCATACCCCCTAACCACCTATCCCTTTCAGACCCAGCCTGGAGATCTGCTCCAGACACTTAACTGTTAACTTCCTAGACTAGAATGGTAATGGTCCAACATCCATCGACGACCTCAACGGCTTGAATAATATTTTTCCAGACGGGGAGTGGAAAAACATACAGCATGACGGGCGGGCTTTCGCGATACGAAGACCGAGGAGTCATTCCTCGCACGATCCAGCACATTTTCAAGCATTTTCTGGAGGTGTGAGACGGCGGTATCCCCACGCCTACGCCGCCTTGCGAGCCATAGGGAAACCCTGTCTAACGGACCGACCTGCTCTGCTCCCGCAGGCAGGCCTGACTCACTCCACCTTCATCTCGTACCTGGAGATATACAACGAGTGCGGCTACGACCTCCTCAACCCGAACCACAAAGTGTCCAAGCTGGACGACCTGCCGTAGGTGGAGGGCGTAGCGCCGAGCCCCTTGACCGGTCGGCCACTGGCAACGGCTCCATTCGCGTTTGACCCCCGTCCTCGTGTGTGCAGGAGGGTGATCCTCATGGAGGACACGAGCGGCACGATGAACCTGCGCAACCTGAGCGTGCACCCCGTGTCGAGCGAGGAGGAGGCGCTCAACCTCCTGTTCCTGGGCGACACCAATAGGTGAAGCACCCGCGGAGCACCTGCCCAGGGTGCGTCGCCCGCCCTGCTCCGTCACGCCCCGCCCCCTGTGCGGCGCAACCCCCGTGCTCACGCCAAGGTCGTTGCCTCCAGGATGATATCCGAGACGCCGATGAACCCGTCGTCCTCGCGCTCGCACTGCGTGTTCACGGTGCACGTTGTCACCCGCAGCGCCACCAGTTCGGCCGTGCGGCGTTCCAAGCTTCACCTCATCGATCTGGCGGGGTACGATCTGAACCTATAGAACGAACTGCTCGGCCCACCCAATGATTTATCAGACCCAAACGCCCCTCTGCGCCCCTGCCCACGCGTGTAGGTCGGAGCGCGTGCACAAGACTGGGATCGACGGCAACCTGCTGACGGAGGCGCGCTACATCAACCTGTCCCTGCACTACCTGGAGCAGGTGAGTTCGGACAGACTCTAGGGAGGGCCTCCCCAAGCTGATCAGACACCGCCGTGCAGGTCATCGTGGCGCTGGCCGACAGCCGCCGCTCCCACGTGCCTTACCGCAACTCCATGATGACGACGGTGCTGAGGGACTCCCTGGGAGGCAACTGCATGACGGCCATGCTGGCCACCCTGTCGTCGCACAAGAGCAACATAGACGTGAGTGTGGCCGAGGAGGGGCGACATTCGATCGTAGTATTAGACAGAGACTTCGGCTCCCTACGTTCACGTCTTTGGCAGGAGACGCTGTCCACCTGCCGCTTCGCGCAGCGCGTGGCCCTGGTGCGCAACGAGGCCATGCTCAACGAGGAGAAGGACCCGCAGCAAGAGATAGCCCTGCTGCGTGCGGACGTGCGCCGCCTCAAGGAGCAGATCGCGGCGCTCACGTCACCTGGCGTCCAGGTGGGATGAGCTTCTATACCCAGCAGCCTGGTGGGCGGGCAGGCCCGTCGAGCAGGGCCGCGTTGCGGGACTGCCTATCCACAGGAGCCTGGTGGGCGGGCAGGCCGGCAGGCCCGTCGAGCACGGCCGCGT